CACACATGCGTGCACACGTACATGCGTGGGCGCGCAGGCGCATGTGTCACCCCCAAGCACGGACACGGACGCGCGCGCGCACATGGATACACACACGCGCTCACACGTACATGCGTGGGAGCACAGGCGCATACATCATCCCCAAGCACGGACTTGCGTGTGCAGTGACTCCCTGGTCGCAGGGCCGAGGCACCCACTGATGCTGCCCAGAAGCCCGCGTGATGGGGTCTGGCCGCGGAGGTCTTCCTCCACCCCTCAACGTGACCTGGCTCCGCAGCCCTGGTGCTCGGTGACTCTGTTCTCCAAGCCACCGCCCCAGGTTCGGGGCGTCCGAGCTCTGCAGGGCTGCGGCCTTCGGGGGCCGTTCCCACAGCCTCCCAAGGGCCTGGGAGAGCCCGGCGCCGGCCTCCGCTGCGCTGCCTCCCACAGCACCCGTGGGCGCCGACGGCGCGCGGCTCGCGTGAGAGCAGGGCGGGGAAGCGGGAGCCCAATTAGCTCCCACAGAAAAATGCATAGAACCAAACGTGCTTCTGGCTGATTTTTCTTCCAACAGCAGTAATTCACACTCAAAATACCATTAGGACCTTGCAGTTTTCCACAAAACACTGTTGCCACTCTCCCACATTATTCTCACACTCTGTTGTGCGTGCGGTTCAGAAAGCGAGGCTGCTTCTGGGGGCGGCCGAGTGGGGTAGAGTGTGCCGCGTGGGCTCCAAGGTCCCCTCAATGGGCCCTGCTGCTTTCAGGGGGCCCCTCCACCCCGCACAAATGTAATATCTTTACTGAAAGGATTTTTGTGCTGAAAGTGCCCCTTTTTGAGCCATTTACATATGTGCCATTGTCCCCCAACTGACCCTCTTCTTACAATTCAATTGCAGAGCCGCTCGGAGGCAGGGCGGTACCACGTGATTCCCAGCCCCCGAGGGGGTGGTTTTCCAGCAGACTCGGTCCTCGGCCTGTGGAAGGGGGGCATGGTGCTTGCGGGGACCCCACGGGCCTCCCCCTGCTGTCTCAAGTGTCGTCCACACGGCTCTCTCCACAGGGGCAGTGGCACAGTGACGTCTTCAGTGGCCTGGGCAACATGACCCACAGCTCCGGGGCCGTCTACCACGGGATGTGGATCAATGGCCACCCGGTGGGTAGGTGCCTCTCCCACCCCTGCCTCCCCCTGTCCTCTTGTGGGGTCACGTTGGGGTCTGCTGAGTTCTCTCTCAGGTGGCCACGGGCACTCGCACGGCGGTGCTGAATCCGGAGGTGTTTGGGGTCAGGGGTGAAGTGAGATCGAAAACGCCAGCCCCTTTAGGAAAAACACATTCCAATCAGGTTTCAAAAGGGCTTGTGACTGGTCTACCTTCGGCTCAGTCACGCTCTCAGGGTCCCAGGGTCTGGGGATCGGGCCAGTCTTAGGCAGGGTCCGCCAGGAGCACCTTAGGAACTTCACCTTGGGAAGAGACTCAGATCCCAGCCCACCCCAAATTAGGGATGTTGGAATCCCTGGGTGTGAAAGATTCAGGCAGGGGGCAAGCCATGTCCTCGCGTCCCCCTAACCGAGTCTCAGCAAATGCTGGAAAAAGCCTAGGACAGCTGACGCGGGCTCTGGCCTCACCCTGCTGGGTGCCAGGTTGTCCTCCCAGAACAGAGCGGGGCTCTCCAGGCCCCCCGTCACTGTGAAGCACCTGTCGCCCTGCACATGTGCCTGTGTGTGCTCCCGCCTAGCTGGCACGTCCTTGATTAGACTCAAGTCCTGTCCTAAGCTTTTCCCAGTGATTGCTTTTAAACACCGTGAACCTTGTGCTGTGCCAGAGGTCATCACTCTCAGGGGGGTCGGAGATTCAGGGGGAAGCAGACACCGAGAACACCGTCTCCAGCTGCACAGACCCCAGAGGATGCCCCGCAGGTCCAGCCTGTGCATGGACGCGCCCTGGCCAGTTCCCCAGCAGGTGTCCACAGCGCCTCATCCAGCACACATTGAGCTGCTGACTCAGACGCAAGGAGTGCAGGGCCGGAGTCCCAACCAACTAGCGGATGTGCAGGAAATTCCACTGTGTGCAAACCCCAATGCTGACAAGCCACTCACTCACAGCCCTTCAGCATTTAGTGGACCTCTGAAGTCTCTTTAATGTAACCAGTTCTGCAAGAAGTTGCTTAAAAGTCACAGCTGACCCTCAGGATGGGGTCACAGTCTTATTTTAGTGACTGCCGGGGTCTCTGTGTGCGGTGGCTCGTGCAGGGGATTTACAGCCCTGTGTGTGATAACTGCGCATCCCTCTCCTTCGGTGCCCTGGGAAGCACAGCTATTCCGTGGGAGGGCCCCAGCGGGGATGTGGGCTCAAGCAGGCGCTGGGCCCACCGCTCACCTGTGCCGAACCGTGCTCTGCTCTGCTCTCTCCCAGCACAAGCCAAGAGGATCGTGATTTTGGGTCCGGAGGTGATGGATGTGGCTCAGGGGTCTTCCTTCACGTTGAACGTCCAGCTGCAGCAGGACAATGGGGAAGTGGCCAGGAGTAAGCATCTCCAGGGTGACGACTGGATTTTCAGAAAGATAAACAGGTGTCAGGTTCTTAGGGTTAGGGACGAAATGGCACATGTGGCTTCTGGTACCAGGTGTCCTTGTAGCAGGCATGTGAGTCCCCCCACTGGCGGGAGGCAGCCACATGCATCGTGAGTGTGTGCGCGTGACCACGGCCATCGCACATCTCACAGGACAATGGGTGACTTCTCAGGGCCACTGGCGTCTGTGGGGCACCTCAGCCTGGCAAGGGGTGAGTTCCTGTGTCCTCCATGGGTTATCAGGGGAAGACAGATCTCCAGTAGCATCTGGCTGCTTTTTGAGGAATCGTATGAGCCGGGCGGCGATGCTGAGGGTGGACCAGCTGGCCTCCCAGAGCGCTTCCCACCCGTGAGCAGAGTGCCCGGTGCGGGGAGGGGCCTTCTGGCCCGGCGGCAGGGCAGAGGACCCTGAGTGCACCGATCTGCCCCCAGGCGGTCACTGTGCGGTGGCCGGGGCAGGACCACCGGTAATAAATGCATGCCTGGGATTCTTTTTTTTTTTTTTTTGAAGATTTTATTTATTTATTTGAGAGAGAGAA